TTTCTTTTTTTCCTTTTTTTTTCTCCTTTTTTCCTTTTTTTTCCTCTTCTCTTCTCTTCTCTTCTCTTCTCTTCTCTTCTCTTCTCTTCTCTTCTCTTCTCTTCTCTTCTCTTCTCTTCTCTATTCTCTTCTCCAGGTGAGCACCCCCAGCTCTCCCAGCCTGGCTCCAGAGCAGAGGGGCTCCAGCCCTTGGAGCATCTCCATGGCCTCCTCTGGACTGGCTCCAGCAATTCCATGTCCTTTTGATGTTGGGAGCCCCAGAGCTAAACAGTGCTCCAAGTTTCATATCTGTTCTGCCATAGTCCAGCTTTTTTCCCTTTCTATGGTTATAAAACATATGTGCACCAATCTAGCTGTGTTGTTTGAGGTTCGCTTTTTGGTTTGTTGAGTTTATTTTTTTTCCTTTAAGCATATCCAGTATTGTTACATTTGATTCTTTGACCAATTGCTGTGTAGCACGGAATTTGCCTAATGTATCTGAAGTCTTTCTTTGAAGCATGTTGGAAATAATAACAAATTCCACTGTACTCCCTGCAAACTTTGTAGACTTTTGTTTTTCTTTAAAAATACAAAGCAGGCCAATCAACAGCAAGTTACTCCCTTCACTTCTGATATTTTATGTAACCTAAAATTCTTGTGAAATTTTTGTTACGTTTTCAGGTGTACTGTGAGTATGGGATGGTACATGTCCTTTCAGAGAAGGGGAGCAACAAAGGAAAAGACTATTGTATTCTCTTCAACTCTCAGTGGGCCCATTTGCCACATGATCTGGGTAAAGCTGTAAGTACCTAGCTAACTGATGACAAAAAATGCATAAAAAATGCCTTTGTTGCTAGGAAACTTCTGATTTCTTACTTGGATTAGTAGAATTTGAAGCAACTGCTTTGTTTGCTCTGCTTAGAAAATATTTTATCTCTTAAGATCATCAGGCAGTGCTAGGATGGCAATGCGTATTTCCTGGCATTGTGCAGAGATAATGACTATTGCTGTTCAAAACAAAAATACTCTTTTTCAATTATGTGATCAATGAAATTAAAATGGCACATATCTGTACTTGCAAAGGAGTTTTTGTACATCAGCATGATACAAGAATGCTTTTTCTTATATAGTGAACTGTGGCCTTTAGTGCTTTCTCATTGTCAAGTGTAAGGTTAAGTAGTCTTAAACTGTGTCAAGCTTTTGCTGCATTATCCAAAGTTGTATGAGCTGAAAATTTAGTAAATTCTTCACTGCTTTCTATGAGAAAAAGTTACTGGCACTGAATGATGAAATCAGCAAATGCACTTTAAATGAGCTACTAATGGGTAAAGATGTAGTTGACTGATACTTGGTTCATTTTATTCAGCCAACTGAGTGCCGCACTGAATTTTTAGAGTTCCTTACCAATGTATAGGCATGTCTCAGTTACTTCTGGTGGGTTTATTGCAACTGTACCTTAGTCCTTAGATACATCAGTAGTTGTCTTTGCCTTGTATAGACTCAGCTGATAAACTCTTGCACTTGCCCTGACTGTGTAATGTGAATCAGCACATGCATGACTGACTGTGGTACTTATGAGAGTTGGGGACTGTACTGTAGACACTTCATTTAAATCAGTCTCATAAAAATTCACTAGTGTCATATCTCAGTAACTCTGCAGGAGCCGATGTAGTCCAGAATAGCTTGCACAGACACTCGGGTAGTGTATCTATATCCCTTGCCTGTCCCTGTCTCCTTCCTTGGTTCTTTCCTGCTTTTCCCCTCTTTCATATTCTTGCTCCTCCTCCTTCAGTACCCCAGCAGTATAGTTCATTAACTGGGGCAATGCAGTGCACCACTCTGAGCTCACACTGCATTTATGTTGTGCTCTGTGCCCTGAAACTTGGACAACCGTGAAGTGTGGGTAGGAGCATTTCACTGTCTCTAGAGGTCAGGCTGGAGACAGAAGTTTTCTGAAAAAGGTTGAAGCTACTGACAACCTGACACTTCCTTTCCCTCCTAAAACAGTAGAGTCCATTACACAGGTATTATACATCATGTACCTGTGGATTTCTAATACAAACTGTTCCGTGTATCGTTTTTTCAGGTTAAAACTTTATCTTGACTCTTCTCAAGTCTAACAGCTTACCTCAGCAAGGCCTGACACTTGCTTCTCTTAGCGCAGCTTGGTTGTTTGGTAGATAATTACAGATTTCAGGTAACTTGCAGGTAGAACTGGGAAAAGATGCTGGTGGTTGTTTAGATTTTGCAAGAAAAATTTATGCCAGTGTAATTTCTAAAACCTTGAAGTGTCTTTGGGATGTTCTGTTGAAACACACCAGATGAGATGCATTTGGGCCTGTGGAGGGCCAAAACTAAAGAATTGGGACAGCCTGGCAATGTCTCTGGATCACAAGTGGTGAGAGAAGTAGCTCAGTATTCAGGTACTTGGGATGCAAAATCTCAGGTCACTGAATACAGTAGGTTTCAACATGGAAGTTTTTTGCCTATGCTTCTGTACATTTCTCCAGCCTGTGTTTTAGTTTCTATCTGTTCATACCCTCCATCATCCCGGCCTGCCACTCTGCCACTCCAGAAAAGATAAAAGCTTGCTGTACTCCTCCCACAACCTGGCTGTGTGCATCAGAACAGCAACAGTGCTGAAGAAAGTAAATGCAAGTGAAGGTCATATCCCAAATTTTACTACCAGCAGAATTCTGTACAACAAGGTGAAACAAGGCAGGACCCTACATAATATAGAAGGCAGCATTGTTTCAGCATTCATGTTGCTCTGAGAATAGTCTACCACTCCATTACTGGAAAGCTTTGAATTACTCTTTAGAAACTCTGGCTTCTGCTCTTGACTTCTTTTATTATTTCATGTTACATATATGTATTTAACTAATTTATTTTTTTTCAGTCACTCTTGCAATTGCAGGATCAGACAGCATCTGTTTTGTGTTCTCCTTCTGATGTACCTGATGGGGGATTTAATAATCAAATACCCATGGTGATGCGAGGAAATTGCACCTTCTATGAAAAAGTGAGGCTTGCTCAGATAAATGGAGCTCGTGGTCTGCTGATTGTTAGTAGAGAGAGACTGGTAAGTTGCTTTTTATCTTCCTATGCTGCTGATAGTCCTCTGATACTGTCTTCAGTGCACATTGCTGGTATTTGATGTTCTTCTTTAAAGTAAATAAGGCATGTGTGTTCCTGCATGTACATACCTTGCATAGTTATGTGTGGAAACCATACATCTGATGGAAGAATGAATGAAACAAGAGTCACTCATTTAAGTAGAAGGAGTTGGCATGGAGCTCATGTGACATTCCAGTCAAGGAATTACCCTTGTTCCAAATGATACACTGGAGTCAAAGGATGAAGTTGATTTGTGACTCCATCATACTACCACACTGAATCTAGTGCATTAGATTCAGCTGGAGCATCAACAGTGTGATTTTTGTAAAATGAGTAGTTTTGAAAATAAAATTAGTAGGTTTGAGTCCTGGTCAATACTAGAGGCACACATCAGTCATAAACCCATGAGCCTGATGTGCAAAAGATACTGCTTGAAATTTGGTTGCTGTATTTTGCCGTTACAGTCTTACATTACTTCTGTTTTACTGGGAACAGACATATATTTTGACTTTTAGCTGTCATTAAGTTCCCTTCTAGAATATTTTTTCAAATTAGCAGGAACAGAATTTGCAACTTCAACCCTTTTGAAGGAGTAGAAGTATTTGCAGAAATAAACATATGCTTACCTGGTCTGAACTGTCTTTCAGGTTCCTCCTGGAGGTAATAGGAGTCAGTATGAAGAGATTGATATTCCTGTGGCTCTGCTTAGCTATACTGATATGTTAGATATTGGCAAGGTAAGCTTGATACTAAAAGCTCTCATTTATATTATGTCACGTCAATGAGTCACTGCTCAACAGTATTAAGTCCACCTTAAGAGCTTTGAATATGTAGAGAATGTATTTATGAAGATTGCATTACTGTGTTTTGGAAAAAAATCAAATCTCTTAGGAGGTTATTTCTCATCTTTGGAATAAAATCAAAATACAGCCTGGTGCTGGAAATAAATATCACTAATAGAAGAGCCAATAGATGGCTCTTATGTGTCTGTAACAAAGCCTGATTCTGAAGTTGCTTGGTGAAAATTAAATAAGTGAACCTTTGCTAAGGTGGCTTTTTGAATGTCCTTCCTAACTACTATTTACCTCCACAGAGTTTTGGCAGCTCAGTGAAAGGAGCAATGTATGCACCAAATGAGCCTGTGCTGGACTACAACATGGTGATAATCTTTGTCATGGCCGTGGGGACTGTTGCAATTGGAGGCTACTGGGCAGGAAGCAGAGATGTGAAAAAGTGAGTAACTGATTGCAGGATACCAGTTTTCCTGTATTTTTTACAGAAAGAAAAATGGTGTTTATGTAAGCATCATCTGGCAGATCTGCTAGTGAGGTTAGGATTAGGAGACTCTGTAGCCAGAGTGAGAAAATGCTGATGTGATGTTTGAAAGGCCCTGAGCCTTGCATTGGTTTGGTCACTGTAGGAAATCATCAGAGTATAAATGGAATGCAGATCATTTTAGGATTTTGCCATGTTAAAAGACCAAATATTTGAAAAGCTCAGAAAAAAAATTATTTAGTAATAGGCTTCCTGTTCAGGCTTTTGCAAAAATTCAACACAAAAATACTTTGTAAAAAATAATAAAATATGCTTTTATTGGTATACAAACCAAATTTGTATACCAACACAAATTGGCAAACCAAATTGATTGGATGGCTAACATAAGCTATGTTTTTTATCAATTTTTAAAGGAAATGTTATGGTTACTTTTTGTCTGCAGGTGGGATTGGGAGAAGGAGGTCATTCTGCCACAGTTACTCCCAACATTTATTTTGTATGCACAACCTGATTGAAGGATTTCTTCTGAAGTTAGCAAATTATTCTCTGCTAGTTTCCAGGATTCAGTTGAGTTTCTGAAATGAAATACTACTCTAGATAAGTTAACACAGCAGTTAAGTAGTTACTGGGTTATGCATTGCGTTACAGCTGATGTTCATACATTCATGGAAAATGTGGTGTTCGACTGACTTGAGTGGAAATCAAAGCAGGCATTGGTATTGTGATGTATTTTCAACCCCTTGTGTTTTTTGCTGAAGATTCAACATCCTTGTGTATTTTGTTGCAGAAGGAATGAACTGATGATAGCCATGTTACTCTTTCAGGAGGTACATGAAACACAAGCGTGATGATGGGGCGGAGAAACATGATGATGAAACAGTGGATGTGACTCCCATAATGATCTGTGTGTTTGTAGTGATGTGCTGCTCAATGCTCGTCCTCCTTTATTTCTTCTATGACCACTTAGGTACTCCTAAGGTTGTGTTTATATTGATAAATATTCAATATCACAAGGGTGACATCACTCAAAGAACATTTTATTGTGAAAATAATAATGAAACATCTCTCTTCTGTTACGTGTCTTCATCCCAATGTGATTTAAAATACTGTAAGAAAACTCACTGAGTAGATTTCTCATCCTTCTTTTTGTGAGGTTGGTCATAAATCTTTCAAACATTAATGCTATTAAGTAGATACAGATTTAGTATTTTCCACCTTTTATTTTTTTAAAGGTGTTCTCAGACCTAATATTTTTTCTTTATAAAGATTATAGTTTTCTATTGATCTCTCATCAGATTGACAAAAAAAATATGAGTGCCTAATGCTTCTTTGTATTTCTGAGGAAGTAGTGAAACATGCATCCCATCTGTGTTGGTTCATTTTGCTACTTAGTGATTTTAATATTGCCTTATAATGCTCCTGTATGTTCATAAAGAGAAGATAAATGCTTCACCATGGGTTGCCTTTGAAGCTTATGACTTACTTTAAAAAGATTAGGATAGAAGTTTTGATTTAAGTAGGCATTGCATAAAGTACACCTGAGTAAAAGGAGCTATAGAATTAGATACTTAAAGAGCATGACTCAAATAAATTCTTTGAAGTCTCTGAATTTAGCTTTCTCTATTGAAATTTAAGCCTTATTTCTCATTTAGTCTTATTAACTATTTGTTCCTTATTCAGCCAGGATACAAAAAAAGCATCTCTTGCCTTATCCTACTTGGACTTAATACTTTTTTCCCCTCAGTCTATGTTATAATAGGAATATTCTGCTTGGCTGCCTCGATTGGTCTTTACAGTTGTCTGTCTCCCTTTGTAAGAAGATTCCCCTTGGGAAAGTGTAGGTATGTGGCAACTTTGAAAATTTTAATAGGAAACTTAGGTTTTTATACTTTTGGGTAGGTGTGGGGTTTAAAGGGTGGCTTAATGCTTCAAAATGTTTATAAAGGAAGAGGCTATCTACATAGACAACTGTAGCTTTGGTGTGTTTCTTTTTCAGAATCCCAGACAACAACTTGCCTTATTTTCACAAGCGTCCCCAGGTCCGGATGTTGCTCTTGGCAGTATTTTGTATCTCTGTCAGTGTAGTCTGGGGAATCTTCAGAAATGAAGATCAGTAAGTGTACATTTTAGTTTCTGTACTAAAAATTGTAATATGCTTTATAGTATAAGCAACTGACATTCACAGAAGTCTACATGTATCCAGAAATTAGGAATGACAGGAAAAAGAAGTAGAGACAGGCAGAAATTCTTAGTTGTTCCTTATGTACTTTATCTTTTTCTTGTTCATTTAAATTACAGAAAACTGTCTCTTGTTAAGCTTGAATTTCTCTGAGTTCCAGTCAGTATTCTGATCTCTTTAACTTAAGACAGCTTTTCAGAAGTGATATGGAAAGTTGGATTACAACTTGTCTAGCTTATTTCTTCATGAGAATAAGAGCTGGTCAGATCTTTAGTTTCTCTCAGCTTTCATGTATGAGTCAGTAATTCTCTATATCCAGCTGTAGTACTGAGCTGTAGCATGTTCTTACCACTTTTGTTAGAGGTGGATCTTTTATGGAGTGTTGTGTTTTCATTTTTGTTTGGGGTTTTTTACCTCCTACCTCACTCCCAGATATTCCAATTTCCCCATGTATGGCATGATGAGCACTATTGTGTTCATCTTCTTGATTCCTCTATTGAGGGTTCACTGTTGGAACTGAAATGCTGGCTTGTGTTTTTGATGGCAATGCCAAAGATGTGTGACTTGTGCTTTGAATGCATATTACTGCTTTTGTGGGATCTGTGTTCTGTGTGGGTCATCGAATGACAGAACTCAAATCCCAGAATCATCAACTCTGAAGGACCTTTTAGAGAGATAAGTGTCAGACCGAGGAGTACAACTCTACTATAGAGATGTTCCAACCTGCAATATTTAGGACTAGGAAATCCATTTTCTGCCTCAGAGCTGAAGTGGGCCTGAGTGTCTCCTGCACAAAGCTCCATCAGCAAGTACACAGGTATTGATCCAACAGCATCATCTCTCGTTGTACCAAGACCATAGCAATTTTTTTAGTACTATCTCAGGTCCTACTTCTCTTTGACCCAAGCAGTTGAGAGTAAAGTGAAGAGCACTTCTATACTCAACTTGCAAAACAAAATTGAAAAACAGGCCCAGCTGTAAATTTGCCTCATGCACACAAGGGTGCATATACCTATACACAGGACAAAGGACCCCAGGATTTCCCATTTTGGTATCCACTGATGTTATTCAGCCAATTTTCAGTCTACCTCACTGCTCATTCAGCTTTTACTTCATCAGTTTCTCTGTGAGAATTTTAGAGAAGATTGAAAGCCTTACTGAAGTCTAGATAGACACTATCACACAGTTCTTCCCTTGTCTCCCAGGCACTTCTTTGTGGAAGGTTATCAGGTTGATGAAGAACAACTTTGCATTTTCAAATACATACTGACAACAGTGTCAGTTTTAAGCAAGTACTTTGAATTAAGGAGGGGTTTTTTTGTCCCAAGCAGGTCCTTAGTGAGGACAAGGTTTGGTCTGCTTTTCCTTCTGTTTCCTGCAAAAATGTTACTCTTCTCTTTTTAAGGTGGGCCTGGGTTCTGCAAGATGCTTTAGGAATTGCTTTCTGTCTTTACATGTTGAAAACAATTCGCCTGCCTACATTTAAGGTATGAAAGTTAAAGAGAAGTTAAAGACTTGAAGAAGAAAGTTAAAGTTTGCATGTATGTGTTTGAACAGAGTCACTTATAATGGAGTATCTTGCCCTGGAAATGCACTTCCATTCATGTGTAGCATGTTAAAAAGGGATGTTATGAGTATAATGAAGACCAATAAGTGGCATGTGATTGTTCTGTAGATTCTGTAGAGTGTTGACTCATAAATCACACACCACCCATTTATTTATGTATTTCTTGTTTGGGTATTTTGTTGGAGTTTTATTTTTGTTTGTTTTGATTTTGTTTTTCAGATTGGCATACAACTAATGCATCAATCTAGTGGGTTTTTTTAAGTCTTTCTGACCTTAGTCAGTATCTTAAGACAAAAATCAGTACTAGTCATTTAGTTGCCCCTTAACCAGCTCTTCAAACCCTTGTTTCAAATTATCTTCACGTCTAAGTTTGTAGAGACTGACAGTAAGAGGGTGTATAATGTCTCAAGCTATGCCTGGCTTCCTCCAGGGCAGAGCTTCTTCGTATTTCCCAGTAAATTGAAATGGCACCATTTCCAGATTTTACATGATAAAGAATTTTAGGCACTAACAAGTTATTTTGTGTTTAAGAATTACTTTCTTTTATATGGTGCATGTAAGACTGTATTCCTCCATCTAGAATATTTAGAAATTAAAAAAAATATATGAATGACTTGTTTTAATCCTTGTTAGCTTTTTCTTTGAATAGCCTTCTAATTATTAATTCTTTGCTGTTTGCTAATGCATAGTGTGTAAATACCAAATATCTTGTCTCTTCCTTCAGGGTTGTACCTTACTCCTCCTGGTTCTTTTTGTGTATGATGTATTCTTTGTATTTATCACACCTTTTCTAACAAAGGTAAGTAAGATGCTTCTCTGCTGCCTGCTGCCCACAGAGCAAAGTGTAATGGCTTGTTTCTCTGTGTGTTCCTAAATGATCCCATAGCTGCTGAGTGAAGTGCTGATTTACAATTTTCTCTTTTTTTTTTCCTTTAGACTGGGGAGAGTATAATGGTGGAGGTGGCTGCAGGCCCATCTGATTCTGCCACTCATGAAAAGGTACTTCATGTTGTCTGAAAATCTGGCACTAAGTTTCAACTGTTACACTTTTAACTTCTGAAAAATTCAAGACCACAAAGCTGAAATGAAGATGCCAGTCTGAAAAGAGCTTAATGTGGGAATAAGTGCTCATGAATGTTTATTCTGGAGGGGCAAAGCAGACTTGTGGTTCATCACACCAGCTTTGGTTTTCCTTTATCTTTTTTTGACAGGGTTTCAATATAAGAAAGCTGGTTAGCTCAGCTTCACAAAAACATGACCACATCTGTAAATATTAACTTGCTACTAATTAAGCATAAGCATCTTTTCCTAAAGAGATAAAACATATAATCACTCTGTCTCTTCCCCCTCCTTCCCTTTTTTGACATTTGCTTTATGAAAAGCTGAGACTATAGGTAAAGGTGAGAAACACAAATTGAAGACAGAAGAAAACAGAAGCCAGTTAAGTGGGTTTGCACTGTGGGACAGCAGCCAATTGCCTGAACACCTTACAAGATTGGCTAACTCAGGGAGGAAAGTATGTGAGATGTAGGAGACAGTGAGATATAGTGAGCAAAACAAAAAAATTAATCTGTAGGAAAACCTGGTTTTGTTTATTTAAGGGTTAATTGGATCTATTTCAGCAATGAGTGTGATAATGTCAATAGCAAAGAAAATAATTGTTTCCAGGACAATTGGATCAATCCATACAGTCCATACTAATTTCTTTGACTTCTTTTGTTCTTCTCTCCTGTACCTTTAGTACCCTTTTGGATTCAACTTTACGCACAGAATGAATTGTATAAAACAGTAATGAATGTATAAATATATAAAATTATTTTGGCACTAATATTAGAAAAGAAAAAAGAAAATAAAGCTTCTTTAATGTACTATAAAGAGAATACAGGTTTGCAATGAACCATTGTATACTGTGCCTCATGTTGCAAATCATGTAATAAATAGGAACACCAGGGGCAGGGAAGAGTTTTTAAAGTGATTTGAAAAATGGCTTTTTAAAATTATTCATGTCTTGGTCTTTTGAGACTTTTATTGCACCCAGGTAAAGGAACTGTATAAATTATTATTTCTTATGCATGTTGCAGCTTACCTAAATTTTGTACATACCTGCAGCTAAAACAGAGTTGATACCCAATCGTATTTGAATGCATTTTGTTAATTGCCAGTAATATTTGCTGTATTTGAAGCCTGCAGTTTGAGTACAAAAGGAACAAGTTCTGGTAGGTAGTGTCACTATGCTTGTCATAATACCTGTGTCTCTTTCATTCCAAGCTCCCAATGGTCCTGAAGGTTCCACGGCTGAATTCCTCACCATTGGCTCTATGTGACAGGCCTTTTTCTCTCCTAGGATTCGGAGACATTTTAGTTCCAGGTATTGTTCAGCATGTTAAGAATTTTACATGTTGCATTGTCATATTAGTTTATTCCTCTTGTAATCCTGCTTCAAGTGGTAGGTTTGATTTGACTGCTATAAACCTGATAAATCTTCAAGGGTAGTGCTATTCAAGCACTATTCACCTTTTCAGCAAGAAAAATGGACATTAATCTTATGGTTCAGTTTCACATTCAGTGATATCAAGCAGTGTAAAGAAACTGTAGGAGTTGATTTAGCAACTGATTCTATACTGTAAAGCATTTTTAATAGTGTAGTCATAGAGGAAATTACTTGTCCATTTGCACACGGTTTAAGTACAGTTGCCTGACTACTCAGACCTTCCTGTTAGTGACATCCAGTATTTCTACTACACCTTCTCTCAAAACTGATTTTAGATAGTATGTAGAACTATCCCTGCCATCACTGCAGGTGAAAAAATTATGCACCTTCTGACTTTCAGATTTCTCCTCAGAAATCATTTGTTTACTTTCTTTTATTTTGGGAAACATGAAATCTGTCATTGCCATTAGTCTCCCCTCCTGCCCCCAATCTGCAACAGAGTCATAGTCATTAACCATAAAATTCTACTGTCTTCAGTGTCAGCTGAACTTTCTCTTGCTCTTGTTGTGAACACTGTATTTTTTCAAAAGTTTAGTAGGGATAGGATGACATTTTTATCTATGATCTGTATGTTTGTAGCTGTTTATTTTACTTTTGGAGTGCTTCCAACACATGGGGCTTGTGCCATTGGATAACTGGTTTGTAAGTTATGCAGCCTCATGTATATGTTGTCATGGTGCTTAAACACAGGATGCCAAGGAAGTTTTTTGGGGGAAAAAAGAGTTCTTGAAAGTTCCTAGCTGGTTTATGGTTTTCTGTTTATGATGAAGTGTGTGACTACGTTGAAATAATATTGTAACTGTTCTTTCTTTTCCTAGGCTTACTGGTAGCCTATTGCCATAGATTTGATATTCAGGTGCAGTCATCCAGAGTCTATTTTGTAGCCTGCACAATAGGTACGTACCACACTGCCACCTGAACACAAGACCTACAGGAGTGGCTCCCTCACAGTCTTGCATGGCGTAGTTTGGGGGTTTTATCCTGTTCCTCCTTTTATTATTAAACAGAAATATTTAGCAAAGTGCTTTCAAGGCTGTATCTTCCATCACCAAACTAGCTGATGTTGCTTTTCTGAGCTAAGGGGAGCTTCTTGTTACCATGGCTGCCAAGGGTCTCAGTCTACCTTGTAGTTACACTATCTTTACATGTGCTCAGCTGCTTATTGTGGTTTCTAGATTCATGAATCTTTGATTGATTGTGCATGAGAATCCAGGTTCAGGGATATCATTCTTTGACTTTGTTCTTAGTTTCTTGTCTATTGTAAAAATCCATAACCTATGATGTAAGGAATTTTATTATGATGATTATAACACCTCTAGATAAGTTTTCTTCTTTAGTTTGTGAACTCCACACAGGTATATGCCATGAACTTAAATGCTACTGATGAATAGGTTCTGACAGATTTCTGTTGTCTTTCTTACAATGTACATCTGCTAGCAAAAAGCTTCTAATGCTTGCAGTAAATTTTGTGAGAAATTGTCATGAACTGCTTCTTTAGAAATTATTTTGAGAAAATAGTTAGGTTCATGGACACTTCTAGCAGGGGTAGAGAGATGCTTTTATTCACATGATGTTCCAAATCATTGTTTCTCATATATAGTAAAACAAAGTTGTTTTCTTATCTGGTACTTTAAAAATGTGTTTGAAGAAATAAGAAAATGTTGTGTTGATAAAGACTCAGCAGTATGCTATTGCAGCACTGAGAGTGAGCCACATACAGGGCTGAGTTAGCAAGATGGAGTCGGCAGTTGTGAGAGGAGTGATTATTCCTCTCAATTTGTCACTTAAGACAGAGTTAACCAGGATCCCTGGTGCCAGACAGACATTGACATACTGGAGTAAATCCAGTGGAGACCATCAGGATGGCAGAAGACTGGAGCACAGAGTTGTAAAAAGAAGAGAAGGCAAAGAGGAGATTCTGTTGCTGTCCACAGCTACCTAATGGGAGACTGCAGAGAGGACAGAGAGACTTTTCTTACAGGTGTGCACATAAGATGTGAGGCAATGGATTTAAATCACAATAAGAAATATTATAACTAGATATAAGGAACTCTCAGTAATAACAAAGTATGCCCCCCCCCCCAAAAAAAAAAAAAAAAAAAAAAGCAAAAGCTTTTTCAGGAACTGTAAAGAGTTTTTGATTATTCTAATCACAGTCCTCTGAGATCAGCAAGTCTAGCCTGTCCCCCAGCACTGCCAATCCCACCTCTATTCCCCAGGTGCCACATCCATACATCTTTTAAATCCCTGCAGGGATAGGTACTCCACCACTGTTCTGGGCAGCTGTACCAGGACTGGAAAACCCTTTTGGGGAGGAAGGTCTGCCTAATATCCTCTCATCCTGTCCCTTGTTCCCTGGGAGCTCGCCTGACTGTACTCTCCTGTCAGGAAGTTGTGGAGAGTGAGAAGGTCCCCCCTGAGCCTCCATTTCTCCAAGCTGAGTCACCTCCAGCTCCTTGTGCTGGCTCTTTCTGATCCACCCTCAGCTGCTTCTCTCAGACCCTTCCCCAGCTCTGTTCCTTCCTCTGGACAGCCCCTCAATGTCTTTCTTGACCTTCTGAAGAAAAATCTGGATCTGAAGAAAAAGTTAGATTAACATAATTGTCTTAAAAATGGAATTGAAAATAATTGCATTATGAGATCCAAGCTGCTTCTGTTCTACTAAATAAATTTTGCCACATTTATGCAGAAATTAAATTGAAAGTAACAAAAACATATATCCTAGAGAAAACTGGCTTTTTTTCAGTTGTGTGGCAGGATAGTAAGAAACAGCCAAAGCCAACCCAAACAAGAAGCACATTATAAAGGTCAAAATATTTGTCTGTATCTGCTGAATTCATAAATATAACATGAGGGACAATATTTCATATATTTATTTTGCTTAAGGTAATTATTTAATTGCATAATATAGATTAGGCCAATCACACTACTTTTACATGTTATTATCGATAGGAAAACTGTAGTATTCCTATTATTTACATGGTGTAAATAATGCTTCTCTCTAGAGGCCTGAAAAACTTCTGGAGATGTTTTAAATATTGCTTGAAAAAAGTTCCAGTGAGAATGCTTCTTTAGCCAATTATTTAGGTGTCCTTGAGCAAAGCTCTATCTGAATAACTGTTTTTTGCTGGGTTTGTTTTCTTCCAGCTTATGGCATAGGCCTTCTTGTGACCTTTGTTGCCTTGGCACTGATGCAGATGGGCCAGCCTGCTCTCCTCTACCTGGTGCCCTGTACTCTCCTCACCAGCTTCGTGGTGGCCCTTTGGAGAAGGGAGCTTGCCATGTTCTGGACGGGCAGCGGCTTTGCGGTGAATACCAGTTTGATATGAGTGTCTTCAGGAAATACTAATATTATAAAAAACCTAACTATAATTAAAGTTGAGTAAAATACTGCAGTATTATCACACAAAGATTTTGGTTTTGCTTGATTGCTTCCTTTTTTATATACTTTTTTTTTGCCTCTGTGAAGTTTCCTGGTTTTTGCAGTGTTTGTGGCCGCTTAAATTAGAGTAGTGAAAAGTAAAGCAGACCTTGTCTATCCTTGATTCTGCCAAAATGTTACTTGTTTGATCTCTCTTGGAAGTATCAGTAGTAGTAAAAAGTTTCAATAGTATATAAAATGTGGGGTTTCGTTCTGTATAAAATATACCCTTAAAATATTTTCTTCATATTTTTTCATAGCTTACTCTTTATGAAATGTAGAAATGTAGTTCAGTATAGTAAATTATTATCTTGTTTCATTGTGCTGCAAGTGCAATTAGCTTGATTCAAAAAGGAATAATTTCTATCATGATGCAAGATTTTTCTTTTTGTATTCTTACTAGAAGGCCAAATCTATCAAGCTAGAGGTTCCCCCAGTGAATTTTATTTTATTTTATTTTATTTTATTTTATTTTATTTTATTTTATTTTATTTTATTTTATTTTATTTTATTTTATTTTATTTTATTTTATTTTATTTTATTTTATTTTATTTTATTTTATTATTCAGCTATTTGTGATAATCTTCACAAACTTCCACTATAGAAATTAATTTAATTGTTAGAGAAATATTTGAGTTCATCTGAAATGTTATGTAAAAGTTTCTAGTTCTTTACACTGATAGTAAAGGTGAGCAGAACTGGACAGTGGCCAAGGACCAAGTGCCTGTTGCTGCCTCATCAGCAGAGTACATCTGAAACTGGTGAGGAACAATCACTCAGAAAGCAAACACTTTTTTTTGGAAAAATTCCCCTGGTGTCCTGTAAAACACAAAGGATAACTGTGTGCATCTGTCCACTGCTGGAGAATGATAATAGTTGATGGACATTTAATCTTCATCTTATGTGTGACCTTTATCTCAGATAACTGGACACATTAGTTCTTGTTTTCCACCATTTTGACTGTGATCTTCCATTTCCAGAAAGACCTACCTCAGCCTCCTGTGGTGATAGCTCCAGTCAACTGCCCTCAGCTTCCCAAAGACAGCAGTGTACCATCTTCTCAACAAGACGCAGAACAAATGACCAGTCCCACCCTCCACGTGAAGGAGCTGCACAGCTCCGCCTCGACTGAAGAGGGATTGGCTGATACCAGCACAAAGACAGATCAGTCAGAAATCTCTATTGCCCACAGTGAGGAACCAACTGCTCAGAATAAGGATGACCTTGAAAACAAATGCCTAAATGCAGAACAAAACCAGTTGGAATAAGTGATGTGATTAAGAACTCCTTCTTTTCCTCACAAACATATCTATATAAAACCAGTATGTATTCAGGACTGATTTAGTAGGGTTTGCTTTCTTTGAGGAACCTCAGTAGGAGTCTGATCATCAAATCCAACAAGGAATGTTCTGTCTCCAGCTTTGGTACAGCTATATACTTTAAAACATCTTTCTGAAATATGGTGCTCTCCAGGAGTTCTGACGTGTGGGTTTCAATGATCACTGTTAGTGAATGCCTTTGACCATTTGTTCCATTTGCATTATAGCAGGGTAGCATCAAGAGTCTATTTACTCAGTACTTGGTGCTTGTGTGGTTGTTATGCTGCTTTACCATGGTGTAGGTTAACACAGTGGAAGAGCATTGAACGAGTCTGCTACAATGCTTACTTGAGAGAAACACAGTCTCTTTTTATTTTTTTTTTTTTTGGCACTTTCCCTATTGTCACCATTTATTTTACCTCTCCTGACTTGTCAAAGCCATTGATATAATGGAATGCATTATTATAAACTGACATTCAGAAAATGCAGAGAATGGTTAAATTATCATTACTCCAAAAGGCTTTATGCTACCATGGTGCATTAAATGCATCTTTTAACTTTTGTCTTTGTTTTTACTTCTAGGTACCTGGGCTACTAGTCTAGTTTAAAAGGCAGGATGAGTAGAGCTCCAGGAAGCTTTCTAGGCATTCTTGTGAACTCTAAGGGCTCTGATAATAAGCAGGGTTGGTCACTGCCTGGAAGCAAATGCATATTAGGAATGTTTAGAAATAATATATAAACCAAATAGGTAAAAAAAAAATTAGGTAGTAGCACTATACTAAGCTTAACAGGCAGATAAATGTTAAAGGCAGGAAAATGTTAAAGCGCAAATGTTCGTATGTTTGGGGCTTTGAGCTTCTATTTGTTGTTCATTCAAGGAATATAGTTGTGATTTCTGATTCTGAAGAAAATAGTTTGTTTTATCGTTTCCAATGGAGCACATGCGATGCTAGAGACAGTTGTGATTTAAAAGCTACTTGCTGCTCAGTAACTTACCAACTGCCTAAGTCATGTTTTGTCTTTTTCTCAAGAGCAGCCAAAGCGTAGTCTGTCAGGTTCTGGAATGAGCCTGGGAGCTCAACTGTTATTTTGCATCTCTTGCTACATTGTGAAGGAATTTGTGAATTTAAAAATTTTTGAGTGCAGCTGGTCTTACTTCAGATTCCTGAAATTGTGTGTTTTCCTGTATAACCCAATTGAGTCTTTTATGCATCAGCTTTTGTACCTGGAAAGATTATGAGATTTGCGTATTACTTGTCTATCTAAGTATATTCGACTTTATCAGAGGAGTATGTTCTGCACTTAAGCTGCAGTTACAGAAAGCCTCAAACTCTTCACTTGAAAACTGAAATAGAAAATTGAAGTATTATTGGATCCTTGGATATGATTCCAGATTGCATGGAAGAAATACTCTTGAGTATTTGAGAGCCCAAAATGTCATTTACAAAAGCATTGTTGCAGTGATGCAATTAGAGGCATTACTGTTAAATTGAGAGTCTCCATTTGGCATGTTGAATTGGAGTTGAAGGGCTCTCTTTTCAAGTCTGTCTGTTAAATATCAGCCATTATCTTTTTGGCTAGGTCTTCCAAAAGTTTGCCTTGTGCTTTTTGGATGAAAGCTTCTGTGGGCAGTGTGGGCATTCTTTCTCTAGAATGTGAGGAGCTTTACCTAAAACCACACTCTGGCTTCAGACTTTTACCAGCTCCTGCTTAGAGCGTTGAACCTTGTCTGATAGGATGATTTATTAAATTTTCTGGAAGGCTCCCTGAGTCCAGTGGCCAACACTACATTTAATTTACAAATTGCCCTAATGGAAGATATTGCAAGAGTGATCTGGTTTTCTATCTCCTCTTTAATGGACCGTTTCTTTGGCCAGAAGTAACCTGAACCAGTTATTACTAATAAAAAGCGACAGAAACATTTTACTGAAAACTTCAGTCAGCTGGATTATGCCTTAAGTCATTGTGTAAGTATGGTTATTAAATTAAGAAAACAATCTTGTCTTTAAATAATTAACTTGACAAATAGCAAGGTAAGTTGGAGACTGATTCAAGTTCTATTGGTTTTTGCCTTGATCATCTCTTAGTCAGAATGTTGTTTGGAGTAGCTTTCTACATTTAAAAGCTATTAGCTTTCTGATGACGAAGCATTAGATATTTATCATCTTCTTGAAAGTGTACTTTTGCATTTTTTCTCCTGTGTGGTTAGGAAACCGTTTGTTTCTCAGATTGTTCATAGCTCAGTTGAAACAGAAGAGCTGGTCACGGCGAACTAGGCATTTCACAGTTGCATTCTGGACAGATCTGCTTCATCTCAACTTTTGGGGAATTTCCATCTATTTTTAAATGTAACTTTTTTCTCTTCCAAACCACAAAGAATGCAGGAAAAAAACCCCAAAAAACCAATAGCTTCTCAGTGCTATTATTCTCCAGTTAAAGCATGTGAAGTTGCAACAAATTACAGATTTTGACTATCTCAGTACTGTACAAATCAGGTGAGCCTGGTGTTCCAGTTTGGCTGTGACTGTTCAGACCCTGATCCTGTGCAGTTCAATTGCTTCCGTCAAAAACCAAGGCTGTATTTCTTTTGTTTTAAAAATCTCCCTGATCAGCTTAATTTAAAACTTAATGTTATATAGGAAAACATGCATATCAGTTCAGTGTGACAGACTCTAATTTTATTTGATGATTTCAGATACACATTCCACACCAAACTTGAGTATGAATAATTAAAGTAATGAAAGTAATACTAATGTTAAAAATAATGTTGATAGGTCCCTTGTTTATGTCTTTCACATACTAAGCCTTATTTGTCTTAGAAATTCAGTAAGGGTTCTGTTCCTGAGAATTTGTATGTGTTCAGGAGAAGCATTTATTTTAGTCAAAAAAAGCCCTGGACTAACACAAAACCCCCAACAACGACCAACACCACTAAAACAAAAATCCATTTGAGAAAATTTGACTCTTTGGATCACAATAATGAGAATCAGATTCATTCCTCAAGTGTTTGTTTTGGTCTGTTCCCTCCTGAAGGAGGATTACCCAAATGCAGCTGAAGGTAGAGTGGAATATGAAAGACTTTACTGAGGGTGCCAAGAGAAAAGTATCCTAAATACTCTTTAAATTTCACAATTTTTATTTTTCTTGTTAAAATGAAGAGCATTTTAAATGAAATATATAAAAAAGAAACACAAAAGAATAGATTTGAAAATACATTCTGTTTTTTACCAGTGGCACTAATAAAAATGCATCTACATATATAAGAATCACCCTTGTGAAAATATTAAATATTTTCTCTAAACATGGACAGATGCCAGACAACAGAAAATCTGCAGCACAGCCTGTTTTCAAAAAGGTTTATTAACGTGTTTCATAGAAAACTTTATTTAGAAAACTTTGTTTCCAAATTGCTTTAACATTTTTCATGGTCTTGCATAATTGGTCAAGCTTTTCCTTCAGAGGATACTCTTTCCTTCCAGTACCCCTCAGTATGGCTATTGTTAAGAATATCTTGACAGAATTTTTCACCCATACACATTGCAGTGTTTCAGCTTGGTTTTTGCATTCCTGACGTGTTGTTCCAACTGGGAATAGATCATCCATTACCATTGTAGTGCCTGTTGACTTCTGAGTATGCTGGAAACTGGTGCTGGCTGTGGAGCCAGACAGAACCCAGAGAGTACTCTGTGTTGAAATAACAGCATTGTGAGCTTACATACTATGACTGCAGTCATTGATGAATCAATCTGCCTTGGGGAGATGCTGTGGATTTACCTGCAGCTCTTTAAAAAAAACAGTACTGGATGCTTGAGAACAGTGTTGCCTTGAAGTTAAAGCTCGCGTGTGCTGTTTTAGTGCAAGTACTTTTGTTCTTGTCTTTAGCCCCGTGGCTCTCTATGTGTTTCTGGTTTGTTGCACAGGATGTAAAGCCCATGATACTTCTTTTTAAGAGCAGCTTCATTGACTGGCTATGAACAAACCAGAGTATCCTGTACATGCTTTCATCATTTGGGGTGTTACTTTTAGTACTGAGGGCTGAATATGCTGGCCAAGCAGCTGTGTATACAACTAATGATTATCAGCACTTGGCATGTAGCACATTGACAAAAAATGTGAAATACAGACAGTAGATCCAAATACTCATCCAAAGCCTGCAGAGATGGTGCTTTTTTCCATGACAAATACAATCTCTGATGTTTTAAAACATCAGAGATTATAGTATGGTTATATATATTATTATATAATATTATATAGTATTATAGTACTATATATAATAATATATATATGTATATATATATAACTAATATAGCCCTATTATAGTAGGGCTGTGTCTTCAGGTAAATGAGGGCAGGAACTACAGTCAGAGGTCCAGAAAACATCATCAGCAAGGAACAATGAATCTTTAGGTATTTTAATCTCACGTGTGGTTTCCTGGCTGGGGCAGGACGTAAAGAACAGAGCTGCACTAACAGCTTTCCAGTTTACATATTTGCCAGTGGTGCTGGGTAGGGTGGAGAGAGGGAGGAAAAAACTGAAGATGACTCAGAAAGCATGAGAAGAAATTGAACAAGAAAGGCAGTGGAAGAGTTTACTCCAAAGAGAAGACCTAAGGCCATGATAAATATCCAAAAATATGAAATGCTTCTGCAAATTGGGAAAAAAAATTGTCATTTTCAAGTAGGGATGACATTAGAATTAATAGATTAAAATTACAATAAGGAAATTTTGGCACTGGTGGTAGGAAAAATCTAGAAGTAGCTGACACGTGAAAGGTTCAGTGAGACAGGGCAGTGCCTAGTGCATGAGCTGCTTTGGTTCTGCAAGGAGAGAATTGAACCACACCAACCAGATTAATTTCATACCACTGGCAGTTGGGGCCAGCCAACAAGCCCTGGCCTACCTGCCCAGATATAGCCTGAGCATCAGGATTCCTGGATTTAATGATGTTATGGCATGAACTTTATCCCAGAGTACTCAATTTCTATATCATGGATTTGTCAGAGTGTTCTGTAACTGCTGTGATGGACAGTTCAGCTCTTGTGAGACAAAGACTGATTTCTGCTACTTTAAATCCTCTGGAAAGAAACCACATCAATTTTAGTCTTTTTTGTCTTTGTTTAATTGCTTCTGGCATCCTGGAACATTTTCAAAACAAGAGAGCTTTGTGTGCAGAAGGTTCGTTTGGGCAGTGGTATAAAAGAACTTTGTTTTCACTGATCCTCTCTATCATCTCTATTTATCATTTATGTGCTATTCTGTGAGGGTTCCAACTTTTCCAGTTTTGCAGCTAAATATTCCAAGTATATGGATTAAAGATGAAATTTTGCCATCTGTAGATTAGTGATAGGTAATGAATAATGTATTTAAATTGGATTCTCTTGAATTGGGAACAAGTATACTGTACACAATCATCTACAATTTCAGGAACTAGCAGAGGACTTAACTTCATGTGATGCAGGGGCTCAGGATTGGTTCTGTTTCCCAGAAGTTGTTGGTGAGTCCAGCATCCAGGAGTTACAGGTACACATGCTCCTAGGGTTATTTGGAGCCACCTTCCTTAGGTGAAGGTGGCATTGCAGTTTATCCAATTTTCTCATAATATTTTTCTGTATGTCAGCATGCAAGTTTAGCTGCAGACAGCAAACTTCATCCAGGTGTTTGTCTCTGAGAAATTCTGAGGTGATCTGCAAGCAAGGGTTTTTTTTGGTTGAGAACTGCTTCCTACTGATAGACATGCACTGTATGTTGTGAACTGACTTTATTTCATGTAAATATTGGTCAGCTGCAAATATGCAGAGACATGGTTTCAAAGTAAACTAGCTCATCACCAGCTCATGCCCCATCCCTGGAAGTTCAAGGCTAGGCTGGATGTAGCGCTGAACAACCTGAATCTAGTGCGGGGGCTGGAATGAGATGATCTTAAAGGTCCCTTCCATCCCAAACCATTTTGTGATTATGAGATTCTTTCATAACTCTTAAAAAAGGGTGGCTTGGGCTGGTAGGAGTCCTGCAGCAGCAGACAGCCAGCACCTCATAGTCAAGTGCTGCTGAAAGATCTCCAGCCCTGAGAATGTGGCACTTGGCATGTGCAGCAACACCCTATTCAGTCGGTGCACTGAGGCCAGTGAGGTTTCCCAGAGCCCGACCCTTGAGGTAGGGTTGCACACAAGAGTTGTATCTGATGTTGTTTCCAATAGAGTAACTTCTTCCTTAAGCCTGAGGTTTGGAATGGATAGAAATAGCTCATCTGAAACATGTATCTGTAGTCAGCAAATGGCCACAAACCTGGCTCTTCTCCATGTTGATCCGAGCCTTGAACATGGTGGGTGGTGGGAAGATGGTGCTGTTTGGGGAGGAGCACAGTCCTTTACGTGCATTCCCCAGCAAGAAACCAGAAGAGAGTGTTACTGTTCTGCTCTGACTGAAGTTGTTCTGATTTATGTTGAACAAAAACTTCAAAACAGTGATTCAGTTTTAGTTTGACAACATATAAAACAACTCACAGTGGCATAGTTTAATTTGGTTTGGGTCATAATCTACTTTTTTCATAATCAGTAGTGAAGACTTCAAAAGATGTATATCAGAGATGGTACAGCAGATCCAAAATTGGCAGCAAGCCTGTGTAGGAAACAGGCTGATTGCTCTGATAGCTAGTTAGTGCAGTGGTCCACCTCTGCTGGGGTGAGCATGTCACCAGTTTGTCTTCAACTCGTGCTTTGCCACTTGTGTTCTCCAGCGACCTTTTGGCTCTCAAACTCTCATAGAGAGTCCCACAGCCAGCACTGGTTGCGGGAGAGCAAGAAGGAATCTCTGTGCAACAGTGCACACCTGGTGCTGCATGGAAGGCATGAAACAGAATTGACCACTGTGCTCAGCCTGGGGCCTGGGCCACGTGCTGTGTTCCTCATGGGGCTGAACACATGAGACCTCTTCCATCCTAAAGCCACTGATAGGAACTATGAGCTCTAGTACTTTCAGCCTAGCAACACAGGAAAGCAAAACCTAAGAAAAATCTGAATTTACACCCCTGCCCATGGGTGCTTTGCTCATTGCTGATGCTCATTGCTCATGTTCCTTCAAGGCTGGAGGAACTGGGGTCTGATAACCTGCCAGTAACCCATGAGCCCCCTGTGACTGACCCCTGCTAGTGTTACTTTAATAAAACTGAATCAGAAATGCTTTAGGTGTGGATTGGTGGGAGGCTGGAAGCAAAAATTTTAAGCAGTATAAAGATGATTTACAAGATAAGACCCCTTTGCTTTATGCTCGTTTCTTGGATGCTTGACAATAGCTGCTTTTAGAGAAGTTGATCCTTGGAGATAACATTATCAGTAGAACAGTCTTAAATGTCTGGTGTCTTTGTGGAAGGACTTTATAATGGTGTTCAAATAGTAGTATGTAGGATAGTGTTATGAAGAGTGCAAACTAAAAGATTGTTAGTCTTATCACTTGCAAATGCATCTGTTTACCTCTGCATATGTATGCATGAAGAATAAACTTTATGCTCATTTCAGGTACTGAAGGAAAGATTTTCTCTTGATACAACATATTATATGTTTTTGCTGGTTTAAGATCTTCTATGCAGTTTGGCCCCTTAATAAATTTTTTTAAAAATTAGAAAAACAACCCCTTCAAAAAAAGAACAGCTAAGAAAGTTAGCCAGCGTAGGAGACTGGTATGAAAACTTGCTTGGAGCGTTTTTCCTGGGAAAAAAAATTCAAACAAGCTATGGAAATGAAGTACAGATGAGACAAAAAGAATGAGGAATTTCGTTCTCTGTAAGGATGTAGTCTGTGATGCTGATAAAATGAATGTCCTTCCCTGAGTCCCTGGTTCCTATCTTGTATTTCATTTACTTTGTTAGCCAGTCTGTCAGTGGCATACACCACTTGTATCATTTCCACAGCTGCAGCTGATTGTGGGGTTGTCAATTCCCTATGGGAAGAGGGTCCCTCCCCTCACACAGGCTATTACTTAATGACTTGCAAAATTGTGCATATTGCATCATATCTGCAAGGACAGATAAATCAGTAATTCTGTGACTTTTGTCTATGATACAAATATCTTCTGTCTATGGTACAAGATATTTTTTCTGCTGTTATTGTTTGCAGGTAGTAACAAAGAACTGACTGTGTCACCTTATGGATCCCTTCCTGTGCCGACACTAGGAGAGAGCCATTGCAAAGACCAAGGGAAAAAGCGAGTTTGTTTCCAAGTAGTAAAAACCATTTTTGTCAAACATTTCTATTTTTCTGAAACTGTACGTCTTACCTTAGTACATGCATCAGATTTTCAGTTCAGTCTGGGTGGCCTTTTCCCACCCTATGTCTGTATGGATCTTTATGGTTTTGATTCCAGCCTTCCTTCTGGCTGAATTACAGCCTTGTTATCCAATTGCACAGCACATCATAATATATATTTTTTTATATGTATATACATTGTAATACATAGGATTTCCAGTTACCAGATGTAGATTAGCTTTCCTTCTGTAATGTAACATGGAAAAAACTCTATTTCAAAATTAACAGTGATGGCAGAATCTTAAGACAAAGAGATCAGAAATATCCCAAGGGTTTCTGCAGAATGAATTTTCTACAGAATACTGAAACATGTTTCAGGCATACGTAGATACAATGAAAGAAAACAAACTTGAAAATGACTGGTCAGCTAGTCAAATTGCAGTAGTTTGGTTTTTTCCTCTTGTTTTGCTTTTAAAAAACATTGGAATTTCCTTTAGTCTGTTTGAGTTTAAAACTGTATAAATTTTCTAAAAGTGTCAAATAAAGATACTTAATTTTTGAACTGAGTTTTTCTATTTTGTATCACCCTTAAGTTTGAAATACTTGTTTTTACTGTTTGCTCTGTGATAAAATGTCTTTTGGAATTTAAAGATCACTGTCTAAACCTCCCACCATGAGCTGGATTCCATGCAAAATTCTTAAAACTTGCTCAATACCAGAAACAGTGTGTGACATCCCCACACAGTCCACACAAGTAATCTCTTCCCGTGTTTTTTGTAACCCTGAGAGAATCCTAGAACAGTTTGGGTTGGAAGGACCTTAAAGCACATTGTGTTCCAGCCCCTGCTATAGGTGGGGACACCTTCCACCAATCCAGGCTGCTCCAAGCCCCGTCCAGCCTTGGATACTTCCAAGGATCCAGAGGCAGCAACAGCTGCTCTGGGCACCCTGTGCCAGGGCCTCACCATCCATTTAAAGTTGTATTATCAGTTGTACTGATAAATTGGGTTTGACTACTCTGTTGCATGTTGAAGTGCTGTTGTTTGGGAAGGGAGGTATTTACTAACAGTCCCTTTTTCTAAAAAAATGCTGAATATCTACTGAATTACAAGGCAAGTCATGGGTGTATCCAGGAATGGTACAAACTGACAACAGGAACAATTCCACCCTGTGTTTCTGCTTAGTATGTCCAGCATTTCGCTTTTAAATACACAATACAGCTGAGAAGAGAGAAATTGAAAGTTTTCTTATGATATCTGACTCTTAGAAAACAACAACAACAACAAAAACAAACAACAAAACCAAGCCAAAAAAACCCAAAACCCCAAAAATTCTACCCACTTAAAAAAACAGCTGCGGCAAGACAGCCTTTCTGTCTGGACTGTCGCTGGGGAACCAAGAGACAGCTGCTTCCATTCAGAAAAGGCAGGTTCAAAACCAGAAAGACTGGGTTCATTTTAAATAGAGGGTAGTAAATATTAAGATACAATCTGGCCAAAAAGCTCATCCTAAAGTATTATAAACCTCAGCTGATATTTTTTGAAACAGTGTCTGGTATTCTAGATTTAGACATACATTTGCATGCTGGAACAGATTCAGCTTAATGAACAAATTGTGTGACCTTTATATTCTTGTACTTGGTTATTCCTGAATCTGTTGAATAGACAAGGACAGAGCATTTTTTGTTTGGAGTTTTGTGGGTTCAGGTTGGTTTGGGGGGAGAGTTTGCTTTTTTTTGTTGTTTGTTTGTTTGTTTGTTTTCCAGAGGAGTGTTTAGTTTGGGGTTTTTTTTTTCTAAAAAGCCCATATTATAGATCTTGACAAAAAGTAATGCTCTAATGGGAAGGGCATCATTCAAACAGGAACTGTTGACTGAACTGCTGGTCTGCTGAACACTTGTGGTGGAGCCCACAGTTCTCCTTGCAGTGCCACAGGTGCAGATCCGTCACTAGTGAGGATCTTGACATTCCAAGCCTCTCCTGACTACCATGTGCATTTGTTAAAAATCTGTCCTCTGTGACCATCTGCGTCTGCAGGGACAGTTTGTGTGGACTATTCACAAACATCTTTGCACACCTTGCTCAGTTTTGCAGCAAAACCCCCTTGGGCAGCTCTGGAAGGAAGGGCTGAATTCTCCACATTCTCCAGCCAGGATGATGGCTCAGTTAAGTACAGGGTTTGCTCTATGAACAGATGCTACATGAAGGTCACTTTCAGGGCAGACTGAAATTCCCACCTATGCCAACTAGTGAAATACGTTTTTGTGAATATATTCAGTCAATTACCAAATTTCAAACCATCTCATTGCCTCACTTCTGCAGGTGATTAACTGGGGAGTTCTTGAACTACCTGGGGACCCTAGGACTTGGCTATGCTGCAAATCTGTCCTATTTTTCTTCTTGTGGGAACTTTAACAAGGCATATTACAGTATTGTGATCTTTGGTTTTTCTATTTAAATACAATTCCCAAATTCACAGTCTCTCAGTCTCACCTTCAAGATAGATTTGACTCTCCAGATCACTTCTTCATACTGCTCTCAGAAGAGTTCCTTGGAAAGAGATGCAGCTATCAGAAGAGTGTGCTACATGTCTCCAGGGGCTCCTAGGAATCACCCTGTTCCCAACAGATGCTCCTGAGCAGGTTATGTTATAGTCAGGTACGTCTGCATCCTCTGCAGGGCATAGCCAGCTAGCTTAGCCATTCAGATGTTCCATGTTTTCCTCTGTGTGGGGCAGGGAAAATCCTCTTTTATGTGGAGGATTACAAGGAAACACTACCTGACCAGCAAGAGTTGGCCTGCTGCCCCTTCCTAGATCAGTCTGCTTTGTAACATGGGGTTGCACTAATATAGACAGAGAATATTAAGGAGCTTCATGAACTCTGGCATGGAGATTTCAGAGGAAGAATTTTTCAGTCTTGGTGAGCTTCAGGAGGTTTCTTTTGCCCTGTCAGCTGTACTCTGTTATATTATTACAGTGTTGTCAGCCACAGTCAGGAGCTCTATAAAATATATGCAGCAAAAATATCTGGAACATCTATACAGTAATTAGGGCAATAGTCCTATTCCCAGAGTCCCATAATTGTTTGGGTTGGGAGGGACCTTAAAGCCTATCTTGTTCCAGCCTCTGCCATAGGTGGGGGCACTCTCCACTATCCCAGGCTGCTCCAAACCCCGTCCAACCTGGACACTTCCAGGGATCCAGAGGCAGCCACAGCTGCTGTGTCAGGGCCTGCCCACCCTCCCAGCCAACAATTCCTTCCCAAAATCACATCCAGTCCTGCCCTCTGGCACTGGAAGCCATTCCCTGCGTCCTGTCCCTCCATGCCTTGTCCCCAGTCCCTCTCCAGCTCTCCTGGAGCCCCTTTTAGGCACTGGAAGAGGCTCTGAGGTCTCCTGGAGCCTTCTCTTCTCCAGGGGAACGCTGCTCCAGAGCAGAGGGGTTCCAGCCTCTGGACATCCTCCAACAGGTCCATGTTCTTCTTGATGCTGAGGACCTCACAGGTAGATGTAGTACTCCAGGTGAAGTATTTCAAGTGAGAAATTAATTCCAAATGACCTCCAGAAGTCCAAATGAAGAGTGGATTTATTCAGTGTCTTTGTACCTCTTTTGGATGGGGATAGAGAAAAAGAACAACTCTGTGGCTATTACAGAACTGTTCAATTATTGCATACTCTCAAAACAACTCCATCAAAGTTCAAGCAACTTTCACTAGTAAGAAGTGAAATCACTCAATATTTCTGTGGTATTTCCATAGGGGAAAAAAAAGAGAGGAAAACCTCTAGCAGAAGAAAGCCACCTAACCATCAGTTTTGTATCTCTATAAAAATGAATAGTGTAGAATTTAATTTTATATAAAAAAAAATATTCTTAAATGTCTCTCATAAAATTATGTTTATTATTTTTTCTATTCCTATGTTCTCTTACATCTTGATTGGCTTATCACTCTAAAATCAATATTAAAAATTGAATTAAATCAACCAATATTTTTTTCTCCTTCAAGAATGTCTCTTCCCAGTGCAGAAAAAGAAAATGAAACAAGGAAATCTGCACTTAAAATGTGTTTTGGGGGTGGTGATGTAGAGTGTGTGATGTACATCTTGATGTGTCAGGATGGGGTTCTTACGATAAAAAGTTCTTCATTTCTAAACAGTTTTCATAAGCTGATTCTGTCCCCATTCCATTTCTTGCTGTACCACAGGGAAAGAAGCAGGAGACAACCATTTAACCTCACATTCATTTTTTCCATGCCCTCAGTAAAAGGATCTTCCTGGGAAACAGAATGAAGTGAATGGTCTTTGAAATCCTTTCATGTAAAGTTCTCCTCACTGTGTTTTTTGCATCTAGAAATTTTCTTGACCATGGAAATCCATATCCCATGCATTTTCCAGCATTCCAGCATGAAATGTAGCAAACCAGCTAAACATTGTTAAAGATATTTAAATCCTTCTGGTGTACCACAATGTTTTCCTGATTGTTCTATTGAATTTTGAGTATTATATTACTTTAGTGCAGTGTTAATTTTATGTGTGCACTCTGACTGTGTGTGCAGCAAACGTAAGAGACAAAGGTGGTCCCAGCTGCCCCTGTTGAGTTTGATTGCCAGAGATCACAGCCATAGTGACTTGTCTTCTCACTTAACTTTGATATATTTACTCCCAGCCACTTCAGCAGGAGTGCAGAAACTGCTGCTCCTAATTTCTTACTTATTTGACCACTGATAATTTTGTTGGTTTCTTCTTTTATTGCAGTCCTCCTCCCCTTATTACTTTTCGTCTTTTGATTATGCAGTTTTGCATCTCCATTCACACAAAGATCCTCTTTATCTAATGAACTATTAAAAGGATGTCAATGCCTCACTCAGCTCTTCCACAGGTTTGTACAGCCCATCCGAAAGGACAGGACCTACCTGTGGTGTTCATGTGGCTCACAGCCAAACATGTTCAGACTCAGAGATTGCAGCATTTTTCTGGTTATTAGCTTGGTGCTAATAAGACCAAGGTTCTCAGTTTGATTCTCATATGGGCCATTCACTCAAGAGTTGGACTTGATGATCCTTCTGGGTCCCTTCAAACTCAGAGCAGACAATTGTTCATTATTGATGCTTAGCAGGAAACGTAAAACAGATTTCAGTTGTTGTTGCTCAGTCTGGAGAGATCCATAGCACAGCAGATACTAGGAATGAAAGGATACACTCTAAACAAAATCTACTTCAAAATCTCTATGACAATTTTATAATTTTAGAATTCTATGTTCTTACATTGCTTTGCCATCAAACACATGAACTGCTCAAGTTTGTTGTTAATGTTGAAGCTACTTAAGAACAGAAGTGGCAATTGGATGAGAGATGACTGTGTCAAGGAGTAGGCCAAAATTCTGACTAGAGCAAGAACTAAAACAAGTTCTCAGTTTTTCATGTCTTTTTTGTCTTTTCAATATGGCAGAAGAGTCACCTGTGGGCTTAAATAAGAACTTCAGCACAAGGAACTCTGTCCAATTTTGGCTTCTGCTGTTGGTGTGTGTGGTGTTGGATAATCCCTGCCCATTCCTGTGTAGCAGTGA